AAATATGTTTTCTTCATTTGAACAAGGAATTAATTAGAAAATAAAATGCTCCATGTCAGGGCAGATTATAAATAGTCATGTAGAGATCTGGGTTTTTTTGACAACTGGTCACTGAAAGTGAGGGGACAGGAAGTAGAACAAGAATTCTACTTTCTAACAGAACCATGAATTAGAAATGCACTGTGTCAGCCCATGCTAGCAGAATGATGAGAATAATTTCTGTATTGTTTTCATATGAATTAAGTTTACTGCAGGATTAACTGCAATAACTATTATTTGTAGAGATTTTGCAAATTGATTATTTCATATGTGATATTTGTATTAGCTCTCTGTGCTAATTGTGTTGGGATCCTTGAAGAATACTGTTTAACATTTTATTTTATTTAATCTTGCACCAGTGTTAACAAAAAAATATAATTTTGCATCTTTCTATTTCTTTTAGCGATCTGAGGCCTAGATACATTCATTCTCTTTCTCTTGCTCTTGTGTTCTCTGTTTAATATTATAAATCTAAATACAGAATAAAACTTCTTTCGTATGGTCCTCAAATCTTTTAGCTAGGAGGAAATATATAGAATGATTTTACCCATTCTGTGAAATAATGAATCCGATTATTATAAATAAGAACTGAGCTACTTTAGACTGAATGCGTCTGGCTGTAACATTTTGAGATTTAGTTCAGGCTCCTTATTCTGGTTAAGTGTTTTTTATTAAAGCAGTTCTGCAATAAATATAGAACTATTTTAGAAAAAATATTAGACCTCAGGAGGCTCAACATTTTTATTACATATATTCAACTCATCATGGGAAGAGATCAAGTACTAGTTTCTGAAATCCAGCAAAGTGTTTTAATATTACTTTCAAATTTATTCTTAATTCCAACACATTATCTGTATACCTGGATATTTTGGAAGATGCACTTCCCCAAGTAAGAAGAAATTGCAAATTTTTCTGGCGAAGAAAAATCAATAACAAAATATTTTTTTCCTATTTCATTTTGTTTTCTGGAGATTTTTCTCACATTACTAGTGAAGCTCTGAAGAGTCCCCTATTTTGACCTTTGTTTTGGTCACCGATTTAAAATGCTGTATAAATCTCCACAAAATGTGCCCAATGAATATAATGATCCAGGTTATCTCACTCAAATCAATGGCTGTTGTCTTCCAGTTCCTGTACAAGTGGGATGCTTAGCTACCTCCATGGCAATGTCACGCGAGCGGTGTAAGCGACTAGTTGACTATCCGATAAGCAAAAGCTTATCTGCTAGACAACTAGTCGCTCTCCTCCCCCTCTCTCCCAGCCTTTATCAGATCTTAAAAGCTGGTTCCCCCCAGCACCGTCTCCGTGGGCAGTGGGGGAATAGTGGGGATGGGCGCGAGCTGGGAATCACTTGATTCCTGGCTTGCACCCAGTCCTAGAAGCTGCACCTCTGCTTTTTAAATGTGTTCAGAGCCTGCTGGCTCTTAATACATTTAAAAATCAGAAGAGCAGTGGGGGGGGGGGAGGCCCTGGTGTGAGCTGGGACAGCTGATTCCTCTCTTGCGCTTTCCCCCTCCCCCGCTGTGCACCAGTCTTTTAAGTGTATTAGGAGTTGGCAGGAGCTTCCCCTGCTTCTTGACTAATGGAAAATCCATCAATTGGTCAATTAGTTGATTAAACTAAATTTAACACACCTACCGTTTATTCGGCATGCTTTGCAAATTCTAGGTACGAAAATGGAGTTAGCAAAACTGCTCTATCCTGGGAGACTGTCTTGATTATGACCATCTTGTGTTCCACTAAGATGGAGGGCCACTCATGTAGCCCACATGAGCTTAGGTTGACCATTGCTGGGGTAGAGACTAGGTGTACAAATTGCTGGGGAATGGACATTATGGTCCTTCTGACCCTGTGGAAATGACCCAAAGAGAATAATACTGTCCTAGGCTGCAAAATAGCATAGGGAGCTGAATTAGGTGACTTCTCAGGATCCATGCATTTTGATGATTCTTTGATTTTTGGGAAAATCTCAGTAAATCTCTAGTGGAGTCATCAAACGCTGGGCCTAAGAAGGGATGGAGACTGTGAGACCAGAAGAGCACAGTCTGTTCATGGAAGGCCCTGTTATTCTTCAAGTTTCAGAATAGTCTGGAAAGCCAGGCTTTTTGAGGAATAAACTCCATCTCTTTGACTGACTAAGGATGTTAAATTGCAGTTATGGAGCTAATCATATAGTCAATACAATTAGTCGATAGGACTGCTCTGCAGAGCCACAGCAGGGATAGCTCCGGGTGCCACCTGCACTGCAGCTCAGCATTTTAAATGTAGAGCCGCCAGGCTCTTACTTCATTTAAAATGCAGAGGCATAGTGTCTGCTCGAGCCAGGACTGCTCAGTCCCAGCTCCTACTCAGTTCAGCAGACCCTGTTTGCGGTGGACAGCCCAAGCTGCTGTGAACAGGGGCTGCTTGGTGGCAGCAGCCTCCCCTATCCTCCCCCTTCCCTCCGCTGCCTCTGATAAAGGTGGTGCTGGGGGGAATTGGCTTTTAAGACAGTTTCCCCCTCCTGGGGGGGGGGGGGGGGAGAGGAGGTGTGCAGGGCGAACGAGGCACCACTCACCCCGTGTTCCCACTGAGGTGGCTTCAGCCTTTGAAATGTATCAAGAGCCCCACAGAGACTCTGTTTCTGATAGAGGTAGCAAAGAGGGGGATGTAACTAGTCAAGTGACATAACTAGTCAAGTAACTAGTCAAGTGCTTTACCAGTATTCTATCTAAACTGAGCAGTAGCACAGCTTCACAGGTGATTAATGAGCCCCACTCAGTCAGCTCCCTACACAGAGCCCTGAGCCTCTGCCTGGGTGGGGCTCATTAATCACCTGTGAAGCTGTACTGCCCCACAGCTTAGAGGGAACACTGTCCTCAACTATCCTATAAGCTTATGCTAATTGTCTTCTCCCTAGACCTCTTCCAAGGAAGGGATGAATCTGTAAATACAATCAAGATTTCCTATGCTGCCAGTATTTTTAAAATTTGGCAATAGGCACAAAACTTTTCAGGAAGGATAAGCATGTCTTAGCTTTTGAACTTGTTAGTTATTAGCGGAGGAGCTGAAAGCCCTTCTTATTATTAAGGTTGCCCTTCATTACACATTGTAAAACTATATTTTCACTTGATACTTAGTTATAAGTTTGCAAAATTGTAACCATTTGGGCTGAAATTATGAATCTCTGCAGCCTGCTTCAGGCTGAGGTTTTAAAAAAATGTTATTCAAAACATTTCAGCCACTTCTAAGAATGGGTGTAATGCAGTGGTATCCAACCTTTTTAAGCACAAGATCACTTTTTGAATTTTAGTGCAATCCAGGATCTACCTCAAATTACATCCTTGCCCCTTCTTCTTCCCTACTCTTTCTCAGAGGTCCTGCCTTACTAACTCCCTTCTTCCTCCTTCACTTTAACCAGGCTGGGGCAGAGGATTGAAGTGCGGACTCTGATCTTGGACGAAGGGGTTTGCAGTGTGGGAGGGGCTTTGAGCTGAGCCTGAGACAGTGGGTTGGGGTGCAGGAGGGAGTTTGGGTGCAGGGGGAACTTATGGCTGGTGCAGGGGTTGGATGTACAGGAAGGGGTTCAGCTCTGGGGCAGGGATTTGGGATGCAGGCTCTGGCTGGCCATTGCTTATCTCAAACAGCTCCTGGGCAGTGGCACAGTGGGGTAAGGCAGACTCACCCCCACCCTGTACTAGTGGCACTCCTACAAGTGGTTAGAGTGTCTAGCAGCTTCTGGAAGGAGGGGCAGATGACTATGTGAACTGCCCCCCATCCACAGGCACTGCCCCTGCAGATCCCATTTCCTGCGTTTTCCAGTCTATGAGCATTCCAGGGGCAGTGCCATCAGGCAAGGGTAGCATGTAGAAACCTTTTGCTCCACCTCCCCCAGGCGTTATGCTGCAGGCAGGGGCACTCCAGCCCGGCTGGAGCAACTTCTAGCTGTGTCAGGGGGTGCAGGTCACTCCAGCCCATTCACAGCCATTTACTCAGTTAACTGATTAAACTTTATGTATAACTGGTTAACTGATTGGGATTTTACATGTCTAATTCTTATTAGCATCTATTTACATTTTGCTGAGGTGTTTCAGCCATCTTTTCCCTAAGTGTCATATTTGATTATCGCCTTCCCTAGGCTAGAAGAGTTTCTAGACTAGAGGAGTTCCTGTTATATGATGCCAGATCACTTTCTCCCTGAAAGAAACTGGTGGGAGGAGTTTAGAGGGAACTGCATGCTCTTAGGTCTCTCCTCGGAGTTTTTAAAAAAATTGTTCTGCCCTGATGATTAGGGAGTCACAGAATGGATGAAATGATCTGGAGGCTGAAGTTGTCATGTGGATGGATGGCTGTCTCAGCCTGGCTATGCTGCCGTTTTCTTGAAGTTACTACAAGGTCCATTTGCTTCTTTGGACTGAATCCCTGTGCAGCAGCTGCAGAAAGAACCTAGTGGGAGCTAATGTTGCTTCAAGCCATGTGCATCTGTTTTTTGGCTTGTAAAGTTACTAATAAACAACAAGAAGTTTAGTATCAAAATTAATCATAAATTAAATATGAGCTGCATGACAGGGGAGCTTTAGTAGTGTTTATGACTGCTTAGATAACTGAAATAACTCAAGCAGGCTCCTGATTTGAAATGCAAGATGATACTATTCTGGAAATCATTCTCAAATTATTTCACATGGTGTTTAAATACATATTTAAAAGGTATATCTTCTTGGGCCAAGTAGATCATTTGTTCGATTATTGAGAATATTGAATTCTCCTTTGTGTCAGTATTGGGAACTGTCTCTTTCAGAATAAGAATGGTTTCCATTTTGGAGGAATTCTAATCACGTATCTAAACTCCCCTGTGTAATCTTTCCCTCCCAATAAAGAAGCGGGGGGGGGGGGCTGATCTAAGCCAAGGATAGACTTGACTGAGATTTTTCCTAATTCTGACTGCTGTGACCCTATGTACTCTAATTTATGAATGTTAATGGATTTGTTTCTACTGTATCTTTTTTTCTTGTTTTACTTTTCTTACTTATAATTTTAGAACTGGACTTCTAGAACACACGTGTAAGTGCAAGAACATCTACTAATTAATATAAAATATTTAAAATGTGTGATGAAAACTATCTGCTTTTATTTAAAAATTTAAAAGATGTTAGTTTTACAATATTAATCTTTTCAGTTTTGGCATAATTAATTTGTAAATTTTATTTTATTATTTTTCTTTATTTAACAGATTGCTGAGTAATTGGATTTCCGATCACAGAAGGAAAATATCATGTCTCGGTTACGCCAGCCCCCTCTTGTAACTGGTATCTCTCCCAATGAAGGCATTTCATGGACAAAAGTCACAATTAGAGGAGAAAACTTGGGAACTGGGCCAACAGACCTGATAGGTAAATTGACAGAAATGGTTTGATGCATTCCCCATTTTTAGATTGAGAATCTTGTTGGTGACATTCTGACATCTTTATAGTCATAGGAAATACACAATGGATAGTATGATAATGTATCATTATCTCCATGAGTTAGAAGCATGGAGTTGAATGGGTAAAGTAGATAGTAAATTATATGTGTACTTTATTTCTTATGGAAGAGATAGTTTGTCTTGTTAGAATCCAGGGGTGAAATCCTAGCCATAGTGAAGCCAGTGGAGTATTGACTTTGGTTTCAGTGGATCCAATGATTGTAAAATGGAATTCCTCTTCCTAACTCCGCTAGTGTCTTATGTGACTGTGTTAAAACTGTTTAATTTATTGTGTTCCAGTTTACCATCTGAAATAAAGAGTATAATATTTTCCTGCTTTGATCAGGGTGTTGAAACTTAGTGAATATTTGTTTTAAAACAGCCAGCTCCGCACAAGCACTGGCTCCTGCCTGCCTCGCCCTGCCTTTCCCCTACACTGTTGCCTCTGATACGGAGGCAGCAGAGCAGGGGGTAGGTGGCTCCGTAGGATCCGGTGTGCAAGGGTAGGGTTGCCAGATGGTTTCAACAGAAATACTGGAAACACTTGACATTATATCACAATCTACATTACATCTTATTTAGAAAATACCGGACATTTATATTTTCTCATTTATATTTCCTCAATTTGTTTCCGGAACAGAAAGCTCAAATACTGGACTGTCCAGTTCAAAACTGGACACCTGGCAACCCTATGCGAGGGGAGCTGACTTGAAAGCTAGCTTCCCTTATGTGTCAGCTCCCACCTGTGCTCCCCCACTGCCTCTGGCGAGGGGGGGAAAGGAAGCTCTGCAGGTGCTGTCTTGAAATCCGGCTTCCCATGTGTACCAGCTCCTGCCTGCCCCTTCTCACTGTGGGAAGCAGTGCCCGGGGGAGTGGAAGGGGAGGTGGGATGGACAGCTCCACAGGAGCCGGTATGTGAGGGGAGCTAGGTTAAAAGCCGGCTTCACATGCACATTGGCTTCTTCCCCCACCCCCTCCGTCCCCGCCTCTTATATGGAGGTAGCTGGCAGGAGAGGTATGTGTAACAGTGCGGGTTAATTGATGAGCTCAGGTTTACTGGTTAACCCTGTACATGAGTACATGCTAACATCCCTAATGGGCACTATATTTGCCCTTTTCCAGTCTTCTGGAATCTCTCCTGTCTTCCATGACTTTTAAAAGATACCTTCTCAGTCAGCTCCTTGAGTATTCTAGGATACATTTAATGAAGTCATGGTGACTTGAAGATGTCTAGCTTTAATTTTTAACTTGTTCTTTCCTATTTTAACTTCTAAACCTACCCCATTTTCACTAGCATTCATTATGTTAGGTATCCAGTCACCACCAACCTTCTTGGTGAAAACTTAAAGACATTGTTAAGCTTCTCTGTCATTTCCACATTTTCTGTTATTGCTTCTCCCTCTTCATTGAGCAGTGGATCTACCCTGTCCTTGGTCTTTCTCTTGTTTGTGATATATTTGTAGAATGTTTTCTTGTTACCCTTTATGTCTCTAGCTAGACTGAGTTTGTTTTGTGCCTTTACCTTTCTAATTTTTCCCCTATGGAATGGAACAAACTGTGCACTTTCCATTTGCTACCTGAGGAAGGGGAACAGCCAGTAATGTTCTGTACAAATTGGGTTTCAGCCCCTGCTGTCCTCCTTAAAAAGTGTTGGGGGGGAGGGAGGGAGGGAGAGGCCCATGGCTAGGGAAGTTTCAGAAGGCAGGTGGAGCGTGGACACACCTAGCCAGCTCATTCACTTCTGATGATTCTTTCTATTTTCTCTGGGGGGTTTCTGAGAAGGAATCCCACTCTAGGCACATCCCATTTTCCTGGCACAACCAGACCTTTAAGTTATGGTCAGAGGAAGCTGTGTACTGAATTTGATGGTCCTGTTTAGGAAGAGTTCTTGAACAGACAAACACACAGACAGACAAACTCAAATACATGGTAGATTTAACATTGCCATTTTTATTTTAGCGTATTTTAGCTTATTTAACATTCAGCATTTTCTGGTTAATGTCTAAAGTTACAGCTACATAGGGTTGCTAGATGGTCTCCCAAAAAATACCAAACACACGGGCTAAAAATTTGTGGGACAGGGCTTCTCTTCCTCCCCAACATGTCACTCCTCCTCAGACGCAATCAGCTGAGGGCTCCCAGCGCTGATTGCGGCCCTGCCTCCCAGCCTGGGACTCCCTCTGATTGCGTGCAGAAGCCTGGCAGGGGCAGGGGGAGTGGCTGGGAGTGGCTCCCAGCTGGGAGGCGGGGCCGTGATCAGCGCTGGGAGCCTGTGTTTGTGTGCAGAAGCTGGGAAAGGGAAGTGGCTGGGAGTCTCAGCCACTGCCCCCGCCCCCTCCAGGCTTCCGTCCGATGCCCAGCCGGAAAAACAAAATACCAGACATTGCACATGTCCAGTATTTTCTGAATTTTTTTACAGGACAGAGAGCGCAAAAACGACTCTCCAGTAGAATACCGGACACCTGGCAACCCTACGTCTACGTGACTGAGGCTGGCCTGGATCAGCTGATTTGGGCTTACTGGGCTTGGCCTCTAAAATTGCAGTGTAAAAGTTTTTGGGCTTGGACTGAAGTCCAGGTTATGCACACTGAGAGTACTCTCTCTTGTAAGCTTTGTTGGATTTAGGCATAATATTTTTATACACCTCAGTTAAACTCTTCTTACTACCTGCTGCCAAAAAGTATTGCAATTAAAGAAAATATGTGTTTAGGAATAAACTGAAAACCACATATATGAGGAAAGAGAATATACCTTTTATACTTCATTCTGTTAAAAACAACCAGATTGTAAGTCACTTGTGACTTAGAAACTTATGGATCTTTAAAAATTCTTGCAGTAAAATTAAGAAAAACATCTTTTTTATTTATAGAAAGGTTCTGTCATTTGGGAATGAAGTTTATTTCTGGATTTCTATATGTATTGAGGAAGATCATTGTTCAGCTTTAAAGTTTTAGCTCTGTGACATTACAATAATGTTTTTCATATCCTACTAACTAGTGAAGAGTACAGTGCCATGTCATTTACTATTCTGTGATGTCAAGCACATGAAACCTAATTTTTAAGTTAGCAGGCTTCTTAAGTCTCATGTTTCATGAGCAGTAATATTTATTTAAGAAATAAAATTGAAGGTAGGAAAAACCCTCTTAAAAGATTAGAAATCTTCTAAAGTAGATTTTTCACTAGTATAAACATTTCCTGTGTATTTTAGAGAAAAGCCAAAGTTAAATTCTTTCATTCAGTTAATTTAAATAGAAATTACATGAATCTTACAAAACAAACCTTAAAACTGACCTACAAAGGAGGGGGAAAAAGTGCTCTTTTTTTTTCTTGTGATGCATTCAGAATGCTATGGTTGTTAAAATAAAATAAATGCTTCCTTCCCTTTTCTATTCTTTACAGTAGAAAAATCAGATTTTGTGGCAAGTTTTTATGTACACTTAACAAATTAATGGCAATTATCTCACAAGAGTCTTTAAGCAGTAACTACAAATCACTTTCCCCCTCAAGTTTCAAAGTCTGATTTCTTTATTTGTTTTAGAATCTACTTAATCAAACTCTTCTCATGCACTTGGGTAAAGTTCTTTGTTAACGTGTCAACTCTCTCATCTTTTCACATCAGCGCTGAGAAAAGTTCCACTTCAGCTTCTTACTTATGTCCTTGAAAAAATCCATGGGCAAAAGCCAGAAAAAACAAGATTTGATATATCACACATTTTTATGTTTGTAAAACACAAACATAAAACCATTCTTTAATTGAGAATTTTTTTTTCAGACCTTAGTAATTTGTCACAAAGGAGCAAAGCTCCCTATCCCCACACAGTTTATTTTTCTGCTGGTTACATTATGTTAGAGCTCTTCTTTAGATCTTAGTTCCATTGATACCACTGACACATTGGGTCCAGTTCCTCCATTGTTTACGCTCACACCATAGTTTTGTGGCACTTTAGGTAATGCCACTGTATTCAGTATACTATGTCTTCTGCCAATTCTTCCTTGGCCTTCCTCACTTTCTCCTTCACGGACCCAATTCGATGCTTGCTTAGCATGTTTCCTATCTTCCATATGTTCATAGAATAATAGAATACTAAGACTCTCATGGTAGGACCCAGTACTGTTTAGACCAGTGTTTCTCAACCTTTTTTTGCTCATGGCCCCCTTCTGAGCCTCGTTTACCTCTGTGGCCCTCCTGATAGCCGTTGTTAGTTGGGGGAAAAAAGGTACATAATTTACCTAATGTTCCGTTTTTTCCATGTGGCCCCCTAGAGGTAGGGTGTCGCCACTGGGGAGCCATAGGGCCCATGGTTGAGAACCACTGGTCTAGACCATCCCTGATAGACATTAATCTAACCTACTCTTAAATATATCCACAGATGGAGATTCCAGAACCTCCCTGGGTAATTTATTCCAGTGTTTGACTACCCTGCCAGTTAGGAACTTTTTCCTAATGTCCAACCTAAACCTTCCTTTCTGCAGTTTAAGCCCATTGCTTCTTGTTCCTCAGAGGCCAGGAAGAACAAGTTTTCTCCCTCCTGCTTATGACACTTTAAAATTTTAGATACCTGAAAACTGCTATCATGTCCCCTCTCAATCTTTTCTTTTCCAAACTAAACAAACCCAGTTCTTTCAGTCTTCCTTCATAGGTCATGTTCTCTAGACCTTTAATCATTCTTGTTGCTCTTTTCTGAACCTTCTCCAATTTCTCCACATCTTTCTTGAAATGTGGTGCTGAGAACTGGACACAATACTCCAGCTGAGGCCTAATCAGCACAGAGTAGAGCGGAAGAATGACTTCTCGTGTCTCTTGCTCACAACACACCTGTTAATGCATCCATTTGAGCCTTCTTTTTTGTTATTTTCTATCATGTCTTGCAGTCAGCTTCCTTATTCTTCCATTGTTGTTTTGTCTTTCCATAAAATGAGTAATATCTTCCTCACCTATGTGCTTTTGGAAAATGTACCCATGGTTTCCTTACTCTATAGGGCAGGGGTGTCCAAACTTTTTTCAAAGAGGGCCAGATTTGATGAAGTGAACATGCGTGAGGGCCGACCATTTTGCCTGACATTCTTTGAACCATTAAAATTAAATGCAAATTAACTATTTTATGCAAAGTTTATTGCAAACGGCATACTTTTCATTTCGTCACATGGATGACAAATCTAAACAGGTGTTAAATCACTCTGCCTTTCATATCTGAAGGCCAGATGAAAAAAAAATCCAGGAAGCTGAAATATATGTCAGGAACATTGTAAAGTACATTACATATTATTGGTAATAAAGGTTGTCTGTCAACTTTTAAGTTCAAAAAATATGAACAGGAACATAACACCAAGTATATATGTTGTGTCCAAATATATTTATAACTGATTTAGACCAACTGACATTAACTGAGATTTTACAATGTATTCATCTCAATACATATGGATTCGTTGGGGGCCATAAAAGATAGATATTGCCATATTACCGGGGGGGGGCGTATTAAACCGGAACACGGGCCGCAATTGGCCCGCGGGCCGGACTTTGGACATGCCTGCTATAGGGTCTGCGAAGTGCTATAGAAGAGTTAAATGTTAGCAGATGACAGCACCTCAATTATCTGTAACTAAGCATGGCAGGATTAGATTTTTATGAGTAAAAGTTGATAAACATTGATTTCACTGTAGACACACACATGCACAAAAAATTTCCATTGATGATGATCAAAATGTAAGAAAAATGCTGCTTCAGAACTTACTAGAGTCTAAATTTCCGTGATTTAATTTTTTGAATTAGACTTGTCACAAATGGATTAGGGAATGAATAGTATTAGCAAGTCTGATTTGTTGATTTTAAAGATATTTACTTTGTATATTTTGACATGTGGTGTTTACAGTTTGTGTTTTAACAGTTTATAAAGCTTAAAAGTTTGAATCTAAGTACTCTGATGACCTCCCACCCATAATTTCTCACAACTCTGAAAGTTTAAATGGATTAAAAATAGAAAAGAAAATGCTTAAAATAAATATCAGTATTATCCATCTAGATTACAAACTACAGGTTGACAACATTTCTTTTTTCTTGTTTATAACTTGTCTAGATTAAATAGAATACTAACTATTTTAAGGCAGTCTGTATTTCCTCAGTTTTATTCACAGTAAGTCTTTGATTTCCAGGTTTAACAATCTGTGGACACAACTGTCTGCTGACTGCTGAATGGATGTCTGCTAGTAAAATAGTATGTCGAGTGGGACAAGCTAAAAATGATAAGGGGGACATAATTGTCACTACCAAATCGGGTGGCAGAGGAACTTCGACTGTTTCTTTCAAACTTCTGAAACCTGAGAAATTAGGTATTTTGTCTCATTCAAACATTATTTTTTGCTAAATAATTATACCTTATAGATCTTTCTAACTAATATCCTTTTTTAAAAGGAATTGAATGTTGAACTCAATTATAATTAAACATTAGCAACTCAAGCCTTCCTGTAAGAGAAAAGAAGACCTTTCTGGAGTATTTCTAGTGTATTGTTTAATAAGAATGCCCCAAATTTCAGTTGCAATCCTGTCAGAAATAGATTGTAAATGTTTTTATTCAATCTAGCTCATTGAGAAATTAAGACAGCCACTGTTTATTTAAGGGTCTACACAAAAGCAACAGTTTAGGTTTTTGTTTTCCCTTTATGATTCCGATGGCAGTTAAATAACATATTTTTCTCAGAGCTAATCTAATGTTTTCAAATATTACATTTGGATTGTAAACTTTATTAGAAACTCATGGAAAGGGGAAGTCCGTGGAAAGGAGAAATCCATGGTTTGCCAAACAGTAAAAGACTGAGAGCCAGATTCTCTTCTGTGACCAGCTTCAGCTGGGTGCATCAGAGAAAGGGACCATCAGGTTTCTAATTGTTTGCCAGCCCTTCAGTGCAGGTTGGAGCAGCCCTGCCCTGACTTCCTGACCCTGACCTGTGACCTTGACATGACCCCATGCTTGCATATCTAGCTTACTGCTCTTCACTCCCCGAAGACTCCCAACATTGGTAGCTAAGGGACTTGTGGCCAAAAATGACTTTTACTCTGGCTGAACTCTTCTCCAAAACCTGTGAAAATTAACTGCTAATATCTGTAAAGCAGCAGGTGACAGGGTTAGAGGTGTTGAGTATAAGATTTGGAAAATGATGAATGCTAGAAAAGTTCTCTTTCCAGTTAACTTGCCCATGTTGGTACTTTGTGTTAGAAACAGAGCAGTACAGACTGTGAGATGTAAAGTGTGATGCCCTGCCATTGATATCTTTCTAACTCCTCTAAGCAAATAGTTTAGCATAATTGTATCCAGGTTGTTTTGCTCTATGTCTTCCAAAATATTACCCAGGCATGCATAATATTTGTCAGGCTTTTTCAAATTAATTCAGTATGGCTGAAGTTGATGGTGCTGGACAGTCTTTGCTGTTTTAAGGATATGTGCTTTGTTTTCTCTAGATATCTTGGATCAGTCTGCTGTCTGGGTTGATGAAATGAACTATTATGATACGCGCACTGACAGGAATAAAGGGATTCCCCCCTTGTCTCTACGTCCAGCCAATCCGCTTGGTATTGAGATAAACAAGTGAGTACCAAATGCCCTTAATCCACTTTCTTAGTGTTTTTCCCCCTGTACATCACTGTATGAATTCCATATAATTTAACAGCTTAGGGGACAAGAAAATTCAATTAGCTGATGGCCCAATACCTACTATTCAGTAGTCTTGTTGCTAGCATGCACTGTGGTATTTGCTAATCCATAATTTTTGCCTATGTTACTGGGTGACTGATAAGAACATCAGATAATTTGAGAGCCTAGTTCATTGAACCTTGCTATGTTTACATTTTTGAGATTGGCAAATAATTTAGGATCTCGTTGTTTATATGTTGCAATTCTAGAACTCTCAGTGTGTGAGTTCTCTGGGACTTTTAAGCACGTTTATATATCTCTTGCTAGTATTGCAATGTGAAATATGTTTTATGTACCCATCAGCTAGTTTACTTTTATTGAAACATTAATACAGGTTTCTAACCACTAACCCCTTGGCTTTTGTTCATAAATATCATAGACTTTATAAAATTGCTCTGTAATAGATTTATAATAAAGAGTAAGTTTATCATAGAGCTTTAAGGGGACACTGCTATTGCCCAAAATAAAATCGACCCTAAAATAGCTTTTAAAAATAAAATTCCTCAGGAGTAAGATATCATCCCCTTCAAAAACAAAGACTGTTTAAAATTAGACTGTTTTGCTGTGGGGCCTATTCTATCTGGAGTACATGGTTTGTTTGTGATTTTTCTGTCTTGTTCTTCACAAGGGTGAAGGAGATGAATTATTTCATCTCCTACATACAAGAATGGGGTAGCATGATGCACACTTGTGAACCATGAAAATTGAAAACTCTAATATTTGGCCTCCAGATTTGATGGCTTACTTATTTTAAAAGGTTATCAAAGCTATGTATGCATTTGAGATTTAATTCAGATATTTTGCTGTGATGGATAAAATTTTCTCCTAAATAATTACAATTCAGATGTGAATATCTTTATTTTAACAATGTTTTCTGTAAAATACTTGAATTCTTGCTTACCCTAAATCCTGGAAGGTACTGTACTCTCAAAGTCTGAATCCTGTTCATATTAAAATATTAAGAGAGTATGACAAATCTAGAAAATCTAAATCTGTTACGCTATCTGCTTTCCATTCATCTGTTAATATTGTAACTGTATTCAAACAAATGTTTATCTGGCAAGATCTAGTCTTCAGAAACCAGTACTGCTGATTTTTCATCACTTGGTTATGTTTAAGATTGGATTTATTTTCATAAACCCTCAGATACAGTCTCAGAACCTTACTGTCAAAATTAATTCATATCAGCTTAGCTACAAGCACTGTTACACAGATTGACAACTGCCTGAAGGGAGTGTAAACAACCAATGTAATTTAACATTGAAAGAGGAGTCTAAAAGGGTACAGATGAATTTAGTATTAGATCCAATCTTCCTTAATATCTCAGTAGCATGTTATAAAATGTGTGGTTACAAGTGTGCACGGAGTGGTACAAAATAATACAAAAGATTGTGGAAAGATCTCAAAACTCTGTCTAGAAAATTAAAACAGGTAAATTATCTTAATTGTACAGTGTGTCTGGTAAATTACAATCTAAGACACAGCTATGTAATGGGAAGGAGGAATTTGGGGAAATAATAATTCTGAGAGACTTATCATTAGATGCAGAGAGAGAATTCAAAACAATTTTGTAGTGAGAAATCTGAGTAAAAAGGGCCAGTACAATTTTGGGCTGCATGTGTTGAGAGATTCTATGACACGGCAGTGAGGTTATAAATTCAATGACTGTAACTGGAATATACTGTGTTTAATATTGAGAACCTTTTACTAGAAAGGTTGTGGGGTTTTTTATCTTTATTTGTAGAAATTGGAGGAAATTCAGAGGACAAAAATAGTTTTATAAGAGCATTTTAAAAGTTATATAGGTATAGCTTAGCTAACCATTAAGGTGACGTCTAGACTACGCTGAAGTTTCGAAAGCAGAGCTTTCACAAGTGAAAGTAGTTGGGGCGCGTTTTTTTTCAGCAACCCCCCTTTTTTCGAAAAGCTGCGTTAACCTCATTTGAAACTTCAGTGTAATCTAGACATAGTGAGGACATAAGCCTGCAAATACTGGAAGTGCGTACTATTGAGGCAGAAGAGGTGGCACAATTAGGATTAATGCAATGAAATTTAAAAAGGGAAAATTTAGACTCTACTAGCTAAAGCATAAAACTTTCTAATGGTAAACTTTACTAGCCTTTGGAATCCCTGTGAGAGTCATGTAAGCTGCTCCATTACTTGGCATATTTAAAATTACACTAGAAGAAAGCCTAGTAGGTGATGACAACATCCTTGACTTGCTTAAATTTAAACACATGCTTAAGTTGTTAGGCATTTCTCAGGTTTAGTTTCAAGCTTCTGGAATGTGCCATAGGCATGCAGCACTGGTCTGACTTGGTAGAATTTACATCCTGTACCAGCAGCTTGGTTCACTGCCTGGGTAAAGGTGGCGGTGGCAAAATCTCAGTATGCCAGTCCTGTTGCTAATGGCAGACATTAGAAGTATTTTAAAGAGGACTAGTTGTGGAGGTAGAGCGGTGACAGAAGATAGAGAAAATGGGAGATGGCAGAGTAACAGGAGGAGAAGAGGGACCAGAAAGTAGGAGGTCTAGAGGTGGGATGGGGAACGTAAGGCCCGGTAGCTGGTTGTGGTCCCCCTCTTGCCTAGATCTGCCCCTCAGCAATAGGGAACCTACGTTGGTGCTCTCACCCCCTCGCTGCGGGACTGTCACACACAAAATCTGCTAGGTTGGGCTCCCAAGGCTCTGGTGTGTGAGAGGAATGTGTAGCCCCCGACTGATTTTTCTGTGGGTCAGCGGACCCTTAACCCAAAAAAGGTTCTCGACCTCTGGTCTAGAGTAAAGACATGGGGGGGGGAGGGGGCAGAAGACCATGTCAAAATGGCAGGTGAAACAGAAAATCAGGTTCAATGATGTGAAATGACTACCTCACCTGCCCCATCTATTGCATTTTTAAAAATAACAGCATAATGCTTACTTTTTTTTTGAACAAAAAGTTGCCACATGGGGTTTTCTAAATATTATTTATGGGACCCTGTCCAGTGCCAATGTATTTGAGATGAATAATACAGAATGAATCATACAAATTGGCATTTCCAAGATAGTTCCAAATATGTTGCTCAAGTTTTAATGCTAAAACATCTTAAGCCTTAGTAATTGTTTTTAGTTAGTCTTTGACTAATAGACACGATTGGGGAATTGTTATGGGTAATGTGAAAAGGACCTTTGAATAATGCATTACTTGCTAGTGATAGTGGGAGGCCTTCTGAATGTGTGAGAGTCTGCTGGCTGTGAGTTCCGTAAGATTTTTTTTTTTTTTTTTTTTTTTTTTTGGACAGTAGAAGTGTAAATACGTTAAATGTACCTGGAAGTAGGAGTTTCATATTGTCTTTATTACCTGTCTGTCAGAATGTGAAAAAGAATATGAGAGTCAATGCTGCTTTTTCATGAGTCAGGGTTTCATACATATTTTATAGGTATATGAAGCACACAAACTGTCATCTTTTGACCCACAATTTTGACAATTGGTATGTAATGGCAGTCTTTGACTTTTAAGTTCTTCTTATTTTTAATGTCGTAACTGCTGTTTAAATTCATTTTTCAAGGAGACCAGGACTTGATTATAAAAACATACAATCATGACAATTATATTTACACAGAATTTACAAACAAATATACATTCCTAAGAATTTCTTCATTGCCATTGTCAGGTCTTATTTTTATAATTCAAACATAGAAGCAGGTTTCAATTAGAAGTGGCTTTGTTAATCAGTTTTGGAACTCAAGTGCATACCAGTGAGTGTTTTCTTCACCAGATTTGTTGCTTGTTCAAAATATAGTATGCTTCTTGAATTCTACTTTTAAAAGTGTTTTCTGCTTCTGTTCGGTGGAATGAAGTTCAAAGTAGATCTGATTTTTTTTTTCCAATATGTGTTGCTGGCTCTGATACGGAAATGCATCCAGAAACCTAGCAGGAAAAGAGGTATCACGTAATGATGTAGATCTGGAAAACAGGGAAAAGTAGCATTAGAATTCTAATAAAAAGGCAATGGTGAAGTACGTTTGCTGATTCTATCATTTAGAATTGTACACGAACAGATTGGTAGGTCAGTGATGCAGTGCTTAGAATTTTAAAACTGAAGAAGAGAATTTGTAATACCTACTTCATGGTAACAATGTGATAAATGCTAATTAAATTCAGATCTACAGACAACTTGTTTTGAGTGATTATTTGCTATAGCAATAGATATACCTAGTCAAAACAGCCGAACAAGGTGGTGTATAATACAATTTATTCCATGTAACCTTTGACAGAACACAAAAATGAATACAACTGACAAGCAACCATGGCAATCACTGAACTGCATCTAGTGTAGTTAAAAATTGTCTTGGAAGAATGTTGTTTTGCATGTTGTATGGGTCATCCATGGATCAGTCTCATACATGAAAACAAATGTTGACATGCTAAATACATTCCACATAGTTCTGTATCCACCCACTCAGTGCAGATGCTTGCATCTTCCCATGGCTTGCTTCTGAAATATTTCAGCTGGGAAGATGGAACAGATTGATCTGACACTGCCACCTAATGGAGTATGTCAGTTTGCTGTTGTGATGTGAGAGACAAGACTTTCAGCTTTATTCTGGAACATGACTAATTGAAATTTACAGCAGCAGATACGCAATGCAAGTTTACATTTTTCTACCATACTTTTTGTAAACTGCAGCATTTGGTTATACAAGTTATGAGATCTACAAACGAAAAGAGCTGTATAAGCGGCCATATATTATTCTGCTGTACAAATATTGCAATATTTAGTTACAGCTTGTGATATCGAGACATCAGTTTTAGCAATCTGCTTTTCTTACTGTCTTTCACTGGATCTCTCTTACTGCATTTTCCTATAATTAGTTGTTCTGACATTTGGATATCTTCTCTCTGCTGTGACCAGCCCTATTGCAGATTTGGCCAGAGTGAGTCATTGCCTCTTTCCTGCTGTTGCAAAGGTCCTTGTTAACACTTTGGATTTGTCCTGTTTAGTCTACTCCAGTGTCCTTTTTGCTGGTCTCTCTGCATGCACAATTAACAGAGTACAGCTGGTACAAAATCCTGCTTCTAGGAGTCTGACTGATACCAGACAGAGCAAGCTAATACAGTAACTTTAGTTTTGGCTTGTTTATGCTGGTTGCCATTCAGATCTGTGTTTATTTTAAGTTGCTCCTCTTGACCTATACAATTCTCTGGAATCTAGTCAAGTTACATTTTGGTGATTGTATCCAGTTTTCAGGCCTGATTTTAGTCTCTAAATGAGTTTATATTGTTATATACACTGAAAAATCTACAACTGGATTGTTAATACATTTTTAAAAATCTGTATAATAAACCCCCTGAAAATGAGAGAGAACCATTGTTGTACAAATAGACTAGCTATGTTCATTAGTATTAATTGCCATCTATTGTTGTTTCACCTACTAGTTGTGTCTTTAAGTTAGATTGTAATCACTTGAAGGCAGTGACTGTCACTTGTTATATTTTCACAGTGCCTAGTTTGATTTTGATTGACCTCTGCGGTTGTTATAAAAAAAAAAAATCAGTATGTCTATGTATTTACAGACTTGATAACAATTTTCTAGACGTTTATGTATGCACGTAGTTGTATGAAATTAGAATAAAATTAGGTGGATATTGTTTTACTGTATGCAATAAAACTTGGATTGCTTGGCAGATATGGCCTAAATGATGTAGCCGATGTATTTTACACATTTTTAATCTTGAATGTACATTCTAACAGGGAAAAAGGAGGTATACAGCACTATGAGATATTAGGAGTGTGCTTCCAGCACAGTTGAGGGAAGTGAAGTTTAGATGATGACTCAAATCCAAGTCTAATTTTTGTTGTAGATAAGATATGTATATAAGCTGTGTACATTTATTTTTAAAACACTTCAACCTGAGCAGTCAAACCATCTCAATAAAAATTATTTTCACAAGGAAACAAGGCTGGAATACCAAATTAGGTGTTTGATTAGGAATAAAGAGCCTTGATAGAAAAATCTTTCCCTTCACTGAAAGACTTTGCTATCTATGAAGGGTGAAAATATCCCAAAGTTTGGGTCATGTAAGAAGTTGATCTGCCTCCCATCTTCTTCAATAATGACAAAGTCCAGCAGACTCAGTCTTAGTGATCTCATTTACAATGGGTGTGGATGCTGATTACATCATTACAGCCGCCCAATGACCAAAGTATCTGAAATTATTTCTCAGTCTCTCTTTTTATTTAAATTTAATGGCAAATTAGATGCATAGTGATGTTTGACACTTTCATATGGTCCTAACATGATCTTTACGTTCCTGTGTGATGTTCCCCGCACAATGTACTGCTGACATCACTGCTACCCTCTTCACTTAGGAAAGAAATAAGTACTCTGTTCCCAATAGAGTTAGCGCCTGTTATCTGGCCAGGTTGTTATGAAATAATAAGCACGTCTTTAGAAACAAGTGTGTCAATGTAATGAAAACATACAGTGTGTGTGCAGATGAGCCAGTCCCTTTTTGGCTCATTTTTAAAGATTGTGTATACTTTGACAGGACTCCTTACTCTTTAATTCTCTTGAGTTCTAATTAGAATGCCAGTTTTGCTATCCTAGCAAGTCATGGAGATGGGAATGTTACTAATTCTCACTTCTTTACTAATCTACAAACTTAGTAGTTCTTACAAAAACAGCCAGTGATGTTATTGATTTCCTCAAAGTTTTGTTACACTTTATTATGGCACGCTTCTCATTACAAAGATATAAAATATATGCTATTATGATTTGTAAAACTCTTCATAAGGATGTTAGTGGACAAAATACTTCATGATGTATCTTTCATTTTTTTTAATAATATAGAAACACTCGATAAATTGCAAAATTGATTAATCTACTGTGCATCTCTCATTCAGTTCTGAGGTTCTATTACATGTAGCATCTATATTTTAACTGTATTTGTGTGGTGATGTTTATATATTTAATTTATAATTCTAAATAAATATTTAATTTATAATTCTAAATTCTCTTGAATTTTTCATTGTGGCCAAATGTCACACTAAAACTAAAATATAACTGATTTTTAGAGTTTGGGCTCTTTAACTGTATAAACCAATTTACAGGACTTTTGTTTTTAAGTCTGACTGGAGAGAGTACAGTACAGTAAAACTCCAATAGTCTGGCATCCAATTGTACGGCACACCTGATAGTCTGGCATCAAAATGGCAAGAGCCTAGTGAGTGAGCTTCAGCAAAAAATGAGTCATAAGGCAGCAGCGGCAGCCGCTGAACCGAGCAAAACCGGACGGGACTGAGTCAGTCTCCACTGCCATTGTGTGACACTGGACAGTGCTTGTGCTACAATAAAAAGGGTTAAAAACACTTTATATACAGTATATACTATATGGCTATGTCTACACTGGCGGGTTATTGCGCAAGAATGGCCGTTCTTCCACAGAGCATCCACACTGCCTACCCACTCTTGCACAAGAAGATTTACAGTAGGGCATGGTAAGAGGGGGCTTCGTGCACAAGAGCTAAGCTCTTTTCTAACAGATGTAAGCTCTCTTGCGCAAGAGGGCAGTGTGGATGCACAACAGGGGTTTCTTGTGCAAGAAAGCCCTATGGCTAAAATGGCCATCAGACCTTTCTTGCACAAGAGAGCATCCACACTGCCATGGATGCTCTTGCGCAAAAGCACATCTTGCACATGGCAGTGTGAATGTATTCCTTCACAAGAGTTCTTGCAGAAGAGCCCTTGCGCAAGATGTTTTGCACAAGAAGCCGTCAGTGTAGACATAGCCTGTGTGTGTGTGTAAGTGTGTAAGTAAGTAAGTAAAACCAGCTTATAGTACCTCCTGATAGTCTGGCATATCCGATAACCAGGCAGCACCTAGGTCCCAAAGGTTCCAGATTATTGCTAGTCTACTATACGTTGAAATAAAGGCTAAGAATTATATTAGCAATATTTATGTTTATTTGGTTTTGTGTGTGATATAAAGGGAAATGTAATATATTGCAGTAATAAGTATTGTCTCTGAAAGTTGTTTTTTTTTTGGTTTATTTTTAATCAGATGTCTGTCTCTCATCTACTCTCAGAAGATGTAATACATGAATAAATCCTGATTTCCCAATGTGTTGTTAAATGCATACATTAATACATGATACAGTAAATGATTGTCTAGTTTGACTCTCTCAGCCATTTAAATAGCAATACGTGGAACCTAACCTCCTCTCCCCCGTTTACCTTCATTCTTATGAGGAAATTGGATTCACTTAACATTTTTTCATTTAAAGTAGCATTTTAAAGGAACATAACTAGAATGTTAAGCAAGGAGTTACTGTATTATCTAAATGTTATATTAGGAAAAATAATAGGGCATAATTGACCTTGCTTTCACTTTTCTGGGGTTTAGTTGCTAAATACTCATTTTGTAATTTTTGTTTTATTGCACTATGAGAGTTTAAAATAAGAAACTGAAAGTTTCTGCTTGCCTACATGACATAGCCTTTATTTAATTAGGGTAATCCTTTAACTAAAAATAAAAGGCCATGTAAATTGATGCATACATTCTTTATCAAAAAAGGAGTAGAAAATATTTACAGTAGCAAATGTACATATGACTGCTAAATGCAAATGATAGTGTTCAGACATATAAAAGTTTTTAAAAGTACAGGTTGGACTTCTCTGGTCCTGAATCCTCAGGGCCTGACCGGTCCCAAATGAAGGAATTTGTTGGACCAGAGAAGGTCCCCTGCTACCGGCCCCCAGCCAGATGCCCCTCCCTGAGCCTGGCTCCAGATCTGCCGGGCTCCCAGCCACCAGCCCTCTTGCCACTGAAGATCCCAGCGAGGACCTCCCTGGTCCAGGAACATCCAACCTGTAACGGACTTGGTTGTGAAGAATACTTATGGTGATACCATTAACTGTTAGAATTACAATTATTGTGTGTTGCACTGTTTTAATGTACTATTCCTGTGTATGTTAGTCAAATCAAAAAATAATTTACTGTTTGATATTGTCTCTTTCCTAGATGTGTTGGATTTACCCTACATTTAACCATTAGTATCTGATTTATTTTGTTAGGTTATTACAATTCTGTGTTATTCTGTTACTACTTAGTGTCATGATTTGAAGGATGGAACATGGACTGTTATTTTATGTGGCAATTTTTCTTACATCCTTTTAGCAGTAAACACTTTATAAATTGGGCCTTTTTCAGAAACAGATTTCCCCAGAAGGATTTGGAGGCACTGTTTCCTGGGATGAGTGCTGATTTCACTAGTGAAAACTTCTCTGCTGCGTGGTATTTAATAGAGAACCATTCAACAACAAGGTTTGTGGTCGATAACAGTGTTTTAAAAACATCTCACAGTGTTTGTATTGTTACTGTACATCATGGATATCAATGATGCTAGAAATGGAAGAATCATAGTTTGCACTTTGGTTATAATCAGATTTTGAGCTCCATTGCGTTAAGCAATATACAGACACAGAGAACAAAACAATAAAGCTTTTAATCATCGATTATCTGAAATTCTGCAACAGAAAAAGATTAGGACAACTAGTGAGATTCCTGGGGTGAAGTTTTGAAATTTTTTGCCAGTGACTCCATCGTAATATCTAGGAAGAATAACTTAGAATAACTTATGGCTTTTGCTTGTGTGCAAACCTTCAGAATTGTGTACACAGAACTTGTAATCCAAAGCTCATTGAAAATCAATGGAAAATTGTCCTTATTTCAATGAAAGTTTACTCAGGCATTGGCTCGTGGTAGTTACAGGGGCACATTATGTATGCATACATGGTTGCATAAGCAACTACTACTGGTGTTTGAGAGATATTTGAAGATAAGAATAGATTTAATGGAGGACACAACACTATTTAAGAAGTGAATTTTATATTCTTGTATTTATATTAGCTTGAAACCATTTATTGAAATAAAGACTTTATTTGGTTTAAACAATGAGGAGTTTTATTTATTGGAGCATAAGCTTTCGTGGGCAAAGACCCACTTCGTCAGATGCATGTAGTGGAAATTCCACAGGCAGGTATAAATATACAGGCATAAGAAAAGAGTACCAATCAAGAGTAAGGCTAGAGATAACAAGGTCAATTCATTCCGGGAGGATTAGGCCCACTTCTAGCAGCTGATGTGGAGGTGTGAACACCAAGAGAGGAGAAACTGCTTTTGTAGTTGGCTAGCCATTCACAGGCTTTGTTTAATCCTAAACTGATGGTGTCAAATTTGCAGATGAACTGTAGCTCAGCAGTTTCTCTTTGAAGTCTGGTCTTGAAGTTTTTTTTGTTGCAGGTTGGCTATCTTTAAATCTGCTACTGTGTGTCCAGGGAGATTGAAGTGTTCTCCTACAGGTTTTTGTATATTACCATTCCTGATATCTGATTTGTGTTCATTTATTCTTTTATGTAGTGACTGTATGGTTTGGCCAATGTATATAGCAGAGGGCACTGCTAGCACATGATGGTATATATTACATTGGTAGATGTGCAGGTGAATGAACCCATGATGGTGTGGCTGATTTGGTTAGGTTCTGTGACGGTGTCGCTGGTGTAGATATGTGTGTTGAGTGCCACTGGGGAGGACCAGGCCAAGGCTACAGCAGGCCCGGCTCTCCCACCCCAGACAGCCCCAGCTCTCCCTCCAGCTGGCAGGCTGAGGCCACAGCATTTCCTACCCTTCCGCCAGCTGTTGGGGAGGGCTGGGTTGAGGTAGCCCTGGCTCCACCCCCTTTCCTGGAATACCAGGGAGGTAGGAGGCCACATGGCATCAGGAGAGAGGGAGGCGTCTGCATGGCAGAGGGTGGTGGGGCAGTGGGACACAGTGACATGATAATGTCACACTGTCATCCCTCAGGAAATTTTTTTTTATAGAGAGAGAAATGTATTTTTGTTTATTTAACCATGCATTTATCTATGAATTTATTCATGCATGTATTTGCTTATTCATTTGTCTATGCATTTATTTATTCATTCATGTATGTCTGCATGCAGATATTTATTCATTCGTCTTGCTGTGGGAACAGTGTTTATCTCCTTGAACCTCCCAAGAGGCAGGGAGGCAGGGCAGGGTGTGGGGAGTTGGCCCGAAAGAAGAGTTAGTTCTCTAGCTTGCTCCCGGCCTGCATGTGTGCGCTGCAGGCTCCCTTTGCCTTGTCGGGACAAAGAGGGAAGAAAAGCAAAGGAAAAAAAAACCCGGATGGCATCCTCCTCCTTTCTAAACCTGCTTCTCTTTCCTGCCGGGAATGCGGGGAGAGAGAAAAAGAAAGGGAGGAAAAAAAGACAAAACAAAAACCTCTTCTCGTGAGTTCCCAGGCTGGTGGCAGTGGCAGCTGTAACAGCCCTCGGAGCCCTTACCCGCTGCTTGGCTGCCATGCAAGTTCTTAGTGAACAGACAGCACCAAACAAATGCGCACGAGCCCGAAATGCTGCTGTGGTATTTTATTTGGGTTGGAACTTACAGTGGACACATGTGCTTTCTCCTTCATGTCCTGCCCTGCGTAGCTTCCTGCACCTCAGCCGCTAGTGAAACCCTCTCTGCCTGCAGCCAGGCAGTCCAGACTGTCCTGCTACCCCCAAGCAGACCACCTGCAAGACCCTGCCGAGAGCCCTAGCAGCCCCTTCTTGGCCAAGCCCCAGTGGGGTGTAATGACCCAACACCAGCCCTGCTCCATGGATGCCAAAGAAGGGATATTGATTCACATCAGTTGGAGTGTAACTGGAACATGCCACTGCCCCATCTCATGTGACATGGGACCAGCTAGCTGCCTGCGGAGAAGCAGGGGACTAAGGGCCCTGCCTGGCAAATTCCCAGGCACTCCATGGAGCGACTGTTTTTCCCCAGCCATCAGAACCTCCAAGCAGCACAGCTCCTGGAGATCTGCTGCCTGATATTTTCTCCTGGGGAGGTGCTAAAGCCAGTCGCTCCTGAGGTGCTAAAGCCAGTCGCTCCTGCTATCTCCTGCTTGGCATTTCCCTCAAAGCCCTGCGGGAGAGTGGGGGGAGGAGTGTCTCTGACAGTCAGCCAACAGTGAGAACAAACTGTGTATTCTGATCAATGCCCTGTATCAGCCCTGAGCCAGGCCAGTTCTTCTTAGGCACACCAGGGAGAAGGGAGAGAGGAGGCTGTGTGGCTGAAGAGGGAAGGGCGGCAGGACGCAGACTGATGTAATGACATCACCCTGTCAATTCTGCGTCCTTTTATATATAAAGGGGGAGAGGAAAGGGAGAGAGGAAAAAAGAGCTGCTCTAATAACAAGGGAAGAGTATGTTCCAGTACATATATGTAAGATGAGGGTACTTGAAATAAAAGTAGCTGGGAGGGAAAAATTACTTTTCATTAGTTGTTTAAGCTCTGAGAGCTTGATTCTGGCATCTTTATTTACAGTGACTAGTAACTCAGTGGGACCACTCATGAAGATTGTACACTTGAGCTTTAAAAGAGGTCTTTATAGTTACCATTCAGAAATTGTTAACAGGACCAGAAATTTAGCTTTCGGTTTACCAGGGTTTAGTTGGAATGTAAGCAACAGAATAAGTCCACAATCAACTCTGTAATAAAACTGTATGCCAATGACTAAAATACTGAAATTGAGAAGATGCTGCTGTCCATGAGTTGAATACGTAAGTAACAACAGTAGCTTGACATAGATTGACTTGAACTGTTTCACATTGATGTGGTAGATCAATGCCAAATGAGGCATTCATGTGTGAAGTTTCATGTTAAAATGGCAGGTTGTTACATTTTTCTGCCAATATTAACTCAAAGCATAGAATATATCTTTGGAAAACAATTTGGCATAACTTTCTATAAAACCCATTCTAGTGTTCAAGTTGAACCTCCCAAATCCGGGATTCTCTGGTTCGGCAACATCCATGGTCTGGCAGAGCCATGGATATTGCTGGACCAAAGAACCCCAGAGCCAGCTGAGACAACTCAGGGGTTGGGGAGCTCTGGATGGGCCAGGCAACATCTGTGAAGCCCTTGCATTGGCTGTGGCACCACTAGCATCAATGGGGTCAGGTGGTGGCTGGAGAGTGCCAGCGTTAATGGGGCCAGGCGGTGGTGGGGAGCACGAGCCCCTGCCAACAACCCCCAATGTTAGCGGGGCCAGGCGGCAACTGGAGAGCTCCCACCCCAGCCGGGGATCCCCCAGTGTCAGCATGGCCAAGTGGCTGGGGGGTCCCAGCCCCAGCTGAGAACCACCAGGCAGCTCCATCCAGAAACCCGAGGGGTAACTACTGGTGGCAGCAGGACCACGATGACCAGACAGCCTCCATCAGAGAACCCATGGCTGAAGCGAGGCTGGCGGAGGTGGGCATCCCCAGCCGGGGAACCCATGGAATCCCCAGCGGCAACAGGTTGGTACTAGCAGTGGAGCAGTATGGCCAGGTGGCCCAAGCCAGGAACTCTGGGGAACGCTTTGAGGCAGCAGGGCTGGCAGCAGCCACGCAGTCCCTGCAGGCAACCACAAGAGACCCTGGGGCAGCAGATGGGCAGCAAGGTGGGGAGCCCTACTGAGCCAGCATTAGCGGGGCCAATGATAGGGCAGGGAGCCCCAAAGGAAGGAACCTCAGGGGCAGCCAGCAGAGGAGCACTGACCTCCCTGATCTGGCAGAGTCTCTGGTCCTGGACAGTTCAGGTTCCAAGGGTGCCAAACCAGGGAGGTCCAAACTGTAGTACAAATTATTGTTATACAGCTTTCTTTATTTGTGGTATCATATTAAGCTGTTTTTTGCATTGGGTCATTGCCCTGTAGGTATTTCTGTTCAATCCAATGAAATGGGGGCAGAGTGTACCTTGATGTTGTATTGATTTATTTTTTAATGGAAAGCACTTTCTTTTTGCATGTTTACTGAACCAGCTCATCATGATAAGTATTAACAAGGAACAAGGTTATGACAATGTGAAGGAAAATTGAAATTTCCAGGGTAACGATACAAATATTCTTTCAGACTAGTAACTGCAAGGAAGACTTCAATGATCGGTATGATTTGTTGAAGTTTATGGAGTGATTATAGGTTGATAGACCAAGTTGTGGATTAATGATAACTCTTTGCCTGATCAATCTTTACCTATTTTTCTAAGGCTAAAAATTTCAGAAACATGGGACAAATAAGACATTACCCAGGTGGAGCAAAACATCAGAGCTTCAGAAATGTAGTACTAGGAAGTTAAGGGGTATGATTGATAGAATAATTTCATAAGTGAAAACTAAAAGTAAAATTAAGAATTAATTAATCAAAAACAGATCTATGTCTTGAGCGAATATTGGAAGAAAAATGTATTGTGATTCCATAAAGTAGGCTTTCATCCGCATAGAAATGATGGGACACAAGGTTGGGATATGGGACTCTTGATGCCTGTTTTTAACTTTGCTCCTAATTTTGTAGTGTAACCTTAGGCATGCTAGTTAGAGTAAAATTTTCAAAAATACCAAAATGACATTAGGAGACTGAAGTCCCAATGAAAGTCAGCAGGGTATAAGTTGCTATGTCCGTTTTTAGCCTTATCCTCTCTGTATCTAACTTTCTTCATCTCTAAAATGGAAAGAGTACTCACCCCTCTTTGTAACATGCTTTACAATTTATTGATGAAAAATAATATACAGCTACTAGGTGGCATTATTTTGACCCCCAATTATCGTATTTATGCTGGCTTTTTTTTGTTTCTTCAGAGAAGCACAGCTTTAATATTCCTGCCCTTTATTTAACCCCAGGTACCAGGAACTCAGAATGTGTGGAACTGTGATGTTTTGGTTAGCTTGTATATGTTTTTTCCTTGAAGGAAATTCAGGGTATTTTTCCCTAAAATTATTTTCCTGACAAAATGTCATGACAAGTATAAACAAACTATTCAGACTTCATATTCATTCATCAGATAACAGGGAGAAATCAGTTAAAAGAGCTGTGAGCCCAGCAATCTAAAATTGCTGCTGGTAAGTTCTTATTGTACACCCAAATAGGCCATTTCAGATAGTGAGTAATATGATTTCCAATCAGCAAATGAAAACAGGAAATAAAACAAAATATTGTGACATCATCCCTGTATAAAGGGAAATGCCTTTGCTCAGAGCACTAGTACTTTCTGTTTCACAGCATGTGGGCATCATTTTCTGACTGACTAACAGCTCAAATTAATTATTTTTTAGCTTGTTCTTTCAACAATTTATTTACCAACACTTTAAAACTATCAGAGTTTTTTGTATCCACAATGGTAGATTTTTTTTCACTTCCGTTCTTCACTGTCTTCTTGAACAGTCAGTGTTTAAAAAATTTGATATATCTTTAAAAAAATTGTATTTTTTCTAACTATAATTAGTATTTCCATGTTTACTAATGGTGGCTACTTAAATAACATAACTTGTGATAACTTGTCCCTGAATACAAGAAACGAATTGTATACATGTGTTGGTTAATCATGAATTACAGAAATTATTGTAGGAGTGTCAGTGGACAGCTAGTTAGACATGAATTTGCATTGCAGTATAATAGCCCCCATCCAAAAAAAAAAAAGTAGTCTGAATGTGCAAAAGTATAAAGGAACAGAACAGGAAGGTGTAGATTTTTTTCTAAGGCTTTGGAGCAAAATTGCATTTAGTTCTGTACCTCATTAAGCAAGAATATGTTGGACTTAAGAAATAAAAAAAAATAAATGGGATTAAGATTAAAAGAGTTAAATGTACAATATTAGGCTAAAACTTCCTGGAAAAAAAGATGCAAATGCAAGTAATTATATAGTGTTAGTGGATATGCTTTAGAGCAATAGGATGAAATTTAGAAAGGAAAAACTTAGGATCAGTATCAGGCTAGACTTCTGACTGCAGTGGAAAATCTCTTTTAAGAGTGGTGATGGAAGCCCCTCAGTTGGGAAAATCAGTGCTCTAGAAATACAACATAGAGAACCATTCTTCATTGGCAGGAGTATACTAGATAACCTAATCTCTCCCAGCCTGAATTAAGGGTGTGTCTGCCAACGCTACCTACTAACATTTTAGCTCAGTCTCTATGCCTATCTAGGTCTCTCTTCACAATCAGCTCCCTACTGTGTGGGAAATTTTTATGACGTATTATTGTACATCTATGCATAGCTGACATAGTTCATTTTTCATACAACTGTATGCCCATCTAATTTTCTTCAATTTATTGCTTTATATTTCCATCACATTACTTATTGAGAATATCTACAGCAACTCGTGCAAAATGTAAAAAAGATGGCCCAATAACCTAATGAAAATATTCCTACACAGGTCCAATTTTGCCACAGCTAAGAATCAACCTTGAGAGATTATCACTGTTTAAATAGCTTACTGCTAGAGGAAATTTTTGGAATTTGGGAGGCAGGGGCACTCAAAATTTGCAATATGATAGTATCTCCTGACAAAATCTAGTTACTATTTCAGGTACTTTTATGACCCTATTATCATATACCTTGTTTAATGTAATATATAAAATACTGTAAATTGCCATGTTCTGTGTGCTATTTTTTAATATATTACTTTTATTGTGTTAATGGTTTTTCATTGTATCCGTTCCAACCTTTCCTCTTTGCTTAATTTCAGTTTTGATCAGCTCAAAATGGCAGTCATGAATTTGAAGAAGCAGGCAAACAAGAAAAATGAGGGGAGTCTAGCATATGTAAAAGGAGGTCTGAGCACTTTTTTTGAAGCACAAGATGCCCTGTCAGGTAAATTGATTAATGATCATCAACAATATAAAAGAAAAATTAAATATTCATATGGCAATTCTATTTTAACATGTTCATTTTTTAAGTAAAAATGTATGAAGAAGGAAAACATATTATGACTAACCTAAAATTCTAAATGACTGGCCAGCTAGATGTACTAATTAATGAAAGATGGACAGCAAAAAACCTTCCAGATATCAAAGATATTCCAAGATCATTGCATAATCCATAGTATGAAATCCAAAAAAGCAAGAAAACATACTGAATCAAATCAGACAGAAGATACATTTCACACTTTAGGAAACTAATCTTAGTACTATATTGTCTTCTCCTGTACAGGCAGTCCCCGGGTTACGTACAAGATAGGGACTGTAGGTTTGTTCTTAAGTTGAATTTGTATGTAAGTCGGAACTAGTACATATTGTAGGGGAAACTCTAGCCAAACATTTCTCCAGAGCTCAGTTTTATTCTCCCACACCTCACTCTCCTCAGTCCTTTATTCTCAAGCTGAGGTGTCTGCTGAGAAAAGCCGCTCCGCGTCTCCCTGGTCTGCTGGGGGGGGCGCTAGCTTCACGTCTCCCTGGTCTGCTGGGGGGAAGCAGCTAGTGCGGGGTTGCCTCACCCCGTTTGTAAGTAGGGATCTGATGTAAGTCGGATCCATGTAACCCGGGGACTGCCTGTATTTAGATTTATTTTACACCAGTGTATAGTTCTGAGAAATCATGCCAAGAATTTCAAAAAGTTTTCTAGTCTCTCAATTTTGGGGTGACCAGTTTGGTAGAGAGGTGTTATTTCCTGCACACCCACCCACTGATAAATAAGGGCCCTTTAAAGTAGTGCAAGATGAGCATGCAAATCTGAGCACTCCCAAATCACTATTCAGTGGAAAATCTTGTCCTAATGTTGTTTTAATAAGAGATCAGAAATTTTGATGAGACAATCTTTGGTGGCAAGTTAGAGTGATGTAACCAAGTAGAGAAAAGTAGAATGGTGTATCTCTTAATTTTAAAGGATCCTAGTACTGCTGATAGGTCAGTGGTTCTAATGACCATGTTTAAAGCTTTCAATAGCTTTTAAAGGTTGGCTCTCCTTCTCTTTAGGAAGTGCATCACAGAAATTTGACACTTCGGTTGTGGGACAGTTATAGTGTGTTACTGAGTTTGTAGATCTAGTAAGTGACATAGATGTTTAATAGTTGCAGACAAAAGTGGAATAGGAAAGAATATGCTGAAATGTCATTTAGAGGACTTGTTACTTCAAATGTCTGTTACAGACTTTTTCTTACATGAAAAATATGGTAACTTTTTTATTTTTCCTTCAGTAATCTGAAATCACTTAAATCTGAAGACCTAATTTATAAATAATCCTAAATCTATGAGTTAATGTGAAAACTTGACTTTCTATCCCCATGATTGCAGCCAAATCATTTTTGCTGTAAAGATAATATAATATCAAAGTATACTCCTCTCCAGGTTGCCAGTTCATGACACACTTTCCCAACAACAACAAAACAAAAGCCCTGATGGTTATATAGTAACTTTGTATGTGACCTATTGGAAATCATAATGCATGTGGCTTTTAAGTAAGACCAAAAAACTCGTCAGCAGTTGTTTCTCTTCTCTCATCCTCCTGAGTCCAAGCTTCTCAAAACTAACATCATAAAAGATAGAGGCCAGAGAACCAGCCACACTAAAAATTAATTTGGCAGATATCAGTCAAACAATAGGAAAATTACAAAGCATCACGTATTTCATTTTTAAAAGTGTCTACTTTAATATAAAATTAGTTGGTAGTGTAATACCTTTCTGTATTTTTCAACTGATATTCTTCAACTTTCCCATAGCCTCATTCAGAGTGCCTTTTTTTTCTTTTTGCTTTCATTTATGTTCGTTTTAGGGACATATCCCCCTGAAAAAGAAGTCTTGGTGCGGCTTCTTTTGTATCATAGCACTATGAATTGAAAATAGAAGAGTATTGTAGAACTTGGTGCAACTCTATGCCAGTGATCAATGATAGGTTTTGTGTTTTCCTCCCGGAGATACTTAATGAGCATTGAAAAGGAAACAAAACTTGTCGTTTGTGCCAATGTAAACAGTGAATTAAAAAATCACTGGGAGAAAGAATCATAGAATACTAGGACTGGCAGGGACCTCGAGAGGTCATCGAGTCCAGTCCCCTGCCCTCATGGCAGGACCAAATACAGTCTAGACCATCTCTGATAGACATTTATCTAACCTACTCTTAAATATCTCCAGAGATGGGGATTCCACAACCTCCTTGGGCAATTTATTCCAGTGTTTGACTATCTTGACAGTTAGGAACTTTTTCCTAATGTCCAACCTAAACCTCCCGCTGCAGTTTAAGCCCATTGGTTCTTGTTCTATCCTCAGAGGCCAAGATGAACAAGTTTTCTCCCGCCACCTTAGGACACTCTTTTAGATACCTGAAAACGGCTATCATGTCCCCCTTCAGTCTTCTCTTTTCTAAACTAAACAAATCCAATTCTTTCAGCATTCCTTCATAGGTCATGTTCTCTAGACCTTTAATCATTCTTGTTTCTCTTCTCTGGACCCTCTCCAATTTCTCCACATCCTTCTTGAAATGCGGTGCCCAGAACTGGACACAATACTCCAACTGAGGCCTAACCAGCGCAGAGTAGAGCAGAAGAATGACTTCTCGTGTCTTGCTCACAACACACCTGTTAATGCAACCCAGAATCATGTTTGCTTTTTTTTGCCACAGCATCACACTGCTGACTCATATTCAGCTTGTGGTCCACTATAACCCCTAGATCCCTTTCTGCCGTACTCCTTCCTAGACAGTCGCTTCCCATTCTGTATGTGTGAAACTGATTGTTCCTTCCTAAGTGGAGCACTTTATATTTGTCTTTATTAAACTTCATCCTGTTTACCTCAGACCATTTCTCTAATTTGTCCAAATCATTTTGAATTATGATCCTATCCTCCAAAGCAGTCGCAACCCCTCCCACTTTGGTATCATCTGCAAAACTTAATAAGCGTACTTTCTATGCCAATATCTAAAGAGAATGACCCTGATGCTAAGGCAGTTGAAAATTAGCACCTTTATGACTTTGAATCTCCTTCTTGCATTCAAACCTGTAGCATTAGAATTGGAGGGTGTTTTGTATGTGATTTCCAAAACTAATTCTCACGGAGGATTCAACTAGAACTACGGGAATAACTTATTTGTTATTTGCTGATACTTTTGAACAACCAACAAGAAATTTCACTCAGAACAAATTTTTCATTTTGTTTTAGACTATATGTAAATGTTTCATTTTTACTATATGTAAACATTTTGGCAAATCTGACACGAGTCTGCAGATTGCTTGTGTCACCAAATTTGCAGCTGTACCAGTCTTCTCCCACCCCTATGCCCACTCTCCAAACCCATCAGCTTCCAGTTCCAGCTGCCTCCTCCCTCTGTATCACATTCCTGGTCCCAATTAATTGCTGGCATGTTTAGCTCTTGTCTCCCTGCATTCAAATCAGGCAACTCCTTCTATGCTACCTTGGTTGTCATTAGGAGGCATTCAGAGTTCAGGAGAAAGAGCCACCCTGCTTTCAGTTCCATTTCCTTTCCAGGATCTGATACAACCTGTAGCATCCTGGTTTTTGTGTTTGCAGGGATAATCCTGCTCAGCTCCATGCTGGTCTGAGCAGAAGCCTGCCAAGAATGGACAGAATCTTTAGCTATTGAACTCTAGCATGTATTTATAAGCATGTGCAAATTGCAAAGTTTTCAAATCATATAACGTAACCAAATTATGGGTGGATTTTAATAGATGGGGGAAAGCACATCCATAACAGAAAGGTTACCTTTTTACCAAATTTCAAGTCCCTGCATCAAAACATGGGGGTACTTCAGTTTCTCAGGGTTTTTCAGAATTTTGAAACATGGACAAAACCATTTATTTCTCTCTAGCCTCATTCTCGGAAGTGGCCAAAAGTTTCCAAAAACATTCAGTCTGAGTCAGACATTGGCATGGAACATTTCAGCCTAGTCAGGGTTATTTGTATTGAATTACAGAGCTTCTTTAAACTTCAATGTAGGAATTTATTATTATTATTTGTTGTTATACTGTACAGTATATGGAGTTATAATGCTGGTGATATCTTTTCATGCAAGTACATTGGAATTTCCATGTAATATTTTTCCTCCTCTAAATTCCAGACATGTCTTTTTGTTTTTAAACTAAGATACATCACAAACAGCTGATATTTTAAAGCTAAAACGTGACTTCAACATACTCCTTAATAAGGAATATAAGCTTAATACTGTAAACTGTTTCACTGTATAACTGTTAATCTATACAGCTGTCAAATAATCATAGAGACTAGAGAGAGAAAATACACATTAGATCACATCTAGTCTATCTCCTCTGTCAATAGTCTAAATGCCCCATGTTTATTGAATTTCCTCTACTTCCTGACAGGAAATCCACTAAGTTGTGGAATAACCTCCCCAAAAGAGGCGTTCCTTTATAGCCTAAATTTTCCCTATCAGTTTTATCCCGTTGCCCTTATATTATCCCCAAACAGTTTTCTCCATACTCTTTTCAATTATTTGTAAACTATTACAATGACTGCCAATTTTCAATTGTTTAACAAAGCCATCTATATTTTATTCTTTTAATCTTTGATCTTTCCTAATCAGGTGTCATTTTTGCTTTTTCTTGAACTCTCTCTAATTTGTTGTGAAATCTGTAATATTAAGAAATCACAACATTTCTTAGTGAAATTTCATTGAGAAATAAAATGCTGTGTCAACTAACCCTAGGCATTTTGTATTTTAATTCCATTGTAGAGTAGAACAACAAATGTTTGTACATTTTTAAGCCTACATTGTTTACAGTATTTTTAATATAAAGAACGTGATCTCGCATACAGTTATCCATAGATGATAGTGTGTCAGCTGCTGTTAGTAGGGCTTGCAAGACTGGACCCGATTTTATTAAGTAGACTATCAAAACCGATGAA